CTTCCTCTTTCCTTTCCCATTTGTTCATTTAATTTTTACAATGATTTACAAATAGTAAGAAAAAAAAAAAAAACACTGTTCCTCAACAGTAGATACAATGGCTGTAAGTAATCATCAAATCTCAGAATGTCAATTTCACTCATCGACATTACATTTTTGATGTACTTAAGATTTACTCTTGTTAATAGAAACCCAGAAGGCAAGAAACACATTGAAATGTGCAAAAACACACTGAAATGAGGAGAATCTTTAAAAAAATCAAGTTGTAAAGAATTTGTAATTGTTATTTATATATTATTTAAAAGCATGAATGGAAGGAAACAGCAGACTACAAAATGACCATGACTTGAACAATAACTATATTGAAACATATAAAATAAAGCCAATACATGGATAATTATTAGTCTGAGAGAATCTTGCACACTCTTAGGAACTTTAGTTGTATTAGTTCTTAAATTTCAGTCATTTCTTATCATTTATCAGCTCTACTGATGTCTACACAATGTCATTGTTTTTGAAGAAACATGAAGAAAAAACATTTTTTTGACAGTTATAGACAGTGAGAGAGAGAGAGACAGAGAGAAAGGTCTTCCTTCCATTGGTTCACCCCCTAAATGGCTGCTATGACCAGAACTGCGCCGATCCGAAGCCAGGAGCCAGGTGCTTCCTCCTGGTCTCCCATGTAGGTGCAGGGCCCAAGCACTTGGCCATCCTCCACTGCCTTCTTGGGCAACAGCAGAGAGCTGGACTTGAAGAGGAGCAGCTGGGACTAGAACCAGTGCCCATATGGAATGCCAGCGCTGCAGGCAAAGGATTAACCAAGTGAGCCACAGCGCTGGCCGCCCATGAAGAAAATTTTATGAGACTTTTAAAAAGTCCTAAATTATATTCTTCTGAAATGCATTATTTTACATTGTTCTTTTTCCTTTTGCTTTCCAAAATGTAGAATGCCTTACTTTCTTCTGAAATTCTTTTAAAGTTTATCATATATAATCTCAGCTGTTTTAAATTGTTATAATTTTATGATTGTTATAATTAGATACATTTCAATGTACACAAAGCAATGTTTTGTTCATTTTCATACACAATAGAGTTATGTTTCTGGATCATGTTCAGCTAATTAGAAAGTGGCTCACACTATATTAGAATATGTACATTAATTTCCTGATGCAATAAGTCAAAGGGGAAATGTGGCAATGAAAAGTAAGTTTGAAAAAAATAGTCTCAAAAGAAATGAAGTCAGAAAAAAATAACTACAGCCTAAGAGTCTTTGCAGACTTTATTTATACATAAATGCTGAATCAGGAAATTGGCGCATAGCTGAGCTATCATTAGTAGTCATTGCCAAAGGGAAAAGAAATTTATTGTATTATTGCACTTTTTAGTGAGAATCATTTTATGATGTTTTCCCAGTGGATCCATAAATAAATTTATCTTATTGCATGTAGCACACACAGTGACTGTTGTCATAGATTTTTTTTTTTTTGGTCTAATACTGAAATTCAGGACACTCATGGACTTCTGTTATTCTTTCTTTTCTTGTAAATCCAATTAACTAATTTCAGGAACCTCTACCTTATCTGATAACTCATTATGTGATATTTAGATTCATATTAGAATTAATGTGACAAAAACACTCACAGCACACCTTTAAGTCTAATGAGAAAAAATATCAAAATAAGAGGTACAATTTTAAAACTTATTTCTCTTATAATCTCTAAAGCAAATTAGGGTTGTTTTTTGTTTTGTTCTGTTTTGTTTTGTTTTGACAGGCAGAGTTAGACAGTGAGAGAGAGAGAGACAGAGAGAAAGGTCTTCCTTCCGTTGGTTCACCCCCCAAATGGCCGCTATGGCCGCTACGGCCTGCGCTGTGCCCATCAGAAGCCAGGAGCCAGGTGCTTCTCTTTGTCTCCCATGCTGGTGCAGGGCCCAAGGACCTGGGCCATCCTCCACTGCACTCCTGGGCCACAGCAGAGAGCTGGACTGGAAGAGGAGCAACCGGGACAGAATCCGGCATCCCAACTGGGACTAGATCCCAGGGTGCTGGTGCCGCAGGCAGAGGATTAGCTTAGTGAGCCACAGCACCAGCCAGCAAATTAGTTTTTAAAATTAATATGATGCAAAACTTTACTGAATTATGATAATTAAAAAATCATTGGGAGATCCCACATATTATTTCTGAGAAGCAATTTTTCCACCAATAAAGGTTGAATAACATTTCACATGTTTGTTTTCCGTGACCCCTTCCTGAAAACCAGCTATCTGATTTAGCAGTGCAGGTCTGGAGCCTAAATGTCATGATTTATATAACATATATCAACCCCAAACCCCCAACAAAGAACTACAAGTATTTGTAAATAATAGAGTCGTGTTAGGAAATAAAGAAAAAGTTTAAAACATACGATGTACTATTAGATATGTCTTAAAAAACCAAGAGGCATTCGCATGGGTGAAGTTTCATCAGGACACCTTCTGTGAAATGTATCTCTTAATACCGTTAGATCCCATATATTGGTTTAGCTTTTACACATTTATGCAAAAAATTATTTCAAACTAGTTACTTCTGTCTTCAAACTCATCACCTTAGCCTTTTAGTAGCCATAAAATGAAACATAGTGAGATTCTAAATCTTTATACTCTTCTACTTACAGTGATTAATAAAGGAGAGCAAAGAAGAATAAAATTTTTATTTCCAAGGACTATTGTCACAGGTACCAGAAATTTAATTCTTTTATCCTACATAAGGTACAGTTTCTGGAATAGATGAAAAATCATTTGGTTGATCTCCTCAATGAATCTGTGATGTGAAAAACAAGACACCAGGGAGAACATAGGAATGATAGCACCAAATAGTCTTTATACACAATTTTATTAGGACTATAGAAAAATGATACCTTAACTATCCATCTAAAATGTAGCTAATTCTGGTTATTCATTTATTTTTAATCTTCAGTTTATAACCTTACTGATAGAATGAAGTTAAGGCGACTTTGTTTATTGCTATAAACAAAGAGAAATGGTCATTTAGTTTGGCATGACAATATCCATTGATTTGTGTTTTGGGGAACTATTATATATATTGTACGGTTATTTTAAGCATGTAACAGATTGGAAAGAAAATGCTTTTATATTGATAGTATTACAATCCATATAGCAGTTATTGGAGCCATTGACACTCTTAAATAATCTAATTTTCAATTAATTATCAATATCATTGGAAAAAACTAGTTTTTCTTCTTTTTAAAAAAGGTCAATCAGTGACTCATATATATTTAAAAGTAAAAATATGCTAGAGAATTTATTTTACTCATGATATGACATAATCAGGCAGACAATATAACTAGTTCAAAGGAAAAGCCGAAATCACTAATCTATGAGGAGTAAGCATAATGAGATATTGAGGTGAAATGCTGCCAAGAACCAAAATTATTTACACACTGGAAGGAAATTAATTGAAACAATAACTGACAGGAAAAGGATATATTTTACCAGATATTTAGAACATAAAAAGAGTTGCAAAAAAAAACAAAAAGAGTAAGAAGGACTATAATATAATAAATCTGGAAGGCAGTGCTATAAAAGATGGATAGTTTTTGTTGAAAGAATTTTCTGTAATATCACACCATTTGATTAAAAATAATGTCAAAAATATATTATTTTTATCACAAAAATAACAATTAGTCTCATTAGAGTAGGCCTGATTTTTTATGTAGGAGCCGAAAGAGTGTTGATTTGCCATAGGGGTATTCTTAAGTTTGCTTTGCTTATTGTTTTCATAAGGAATCTCAAATTGGACTTTTAAAAGCCTCTTGAGGCTAAGAAGCCAAGCCAAAAATTCACAACCAGATTTTACCTGCAGTATTTATTTATTTGGGTGAATTTCTCTCCTCTGGAGTTCCCCCAAATCATCAGACATTTCTGGGACTCTCAGGAAGTGACTTTTATTATTCCCTGTAAGGCTGGGACCCTGTTAGCGAGGAGCCACCCAAGTCTTTTCTAGAGGGCTCTATAATCATTGACTCCATGAAGTCAACCTTTGTTCCTTTAAAATGTTGGGTCATACCTGATTGAAGGAGCATCAATCTCACTTGCCATTCCAAGCAAGGCCTTTGTTGTATAATCAGCATTTCTAATTATGTCTTATCATCAGAAAGGATAGTTTTTTCACTGAACCTATCCAGATAGCTTTATTAACATTAAAACAATGATATTCAATAAAAGTTTCTAGATTTTTGATGGGCCTAGAAGGAAGAATAAAATAATTTATAAATGTTTAATTTCAATTTACTAAAATAGAGTTTACTGAGTGATTGTTAGGCAGAGTTTAAGAGAAAAAAAGAAAAGTCTTCCTTATATACACAGAAAACTGAACGTTAAAACAATATTGTGGCAGGTGTTTAGTTCTATAGTTAAGACATTAGTAGGGACTCCCATATGTCAGATGGAGTGCCAAAATTTGAGTCCTGGCTCTGCTCTTGATTCCAGCTTCTTGTTAATGTGTACCCTGGGAGGCACCATGTGAACACTCAAGTATTCAGATCCCTGACACCAGATGGAAGACCTGGAACAAGTTCGAGGCAACCAGCTTTGGTCTGGCTCAGTCATAGCTGTTGTAGGCTTTTGGGGGCAAGAATCGGTGATCTGTCTCTGTCTCTCTGCTTCTAATATAATAAATTTTGAAATTAATTTTTTGTATAGTCCTTGCTTATTTTCCTATTGTCTTTTTACTTTTTATTTGTTGGAGTTATTTATTTGGTGGAACCAATAATCCTTTGTGTATAATGTAAATTTACAATGTTACCACAAAAAATAAATATATTTTTAAAATAAACACTATCATATTCCAAACAACATTATAATCCTCATTCAGTTCATTGAGTTCTATATGATTGTTATTCCACTGGATCTTATGTTAGGAGTCTCATCAACCCATCAGTTTCATGCAATTCCACTAGTGTGTCATCAAAGCTTGTTTAAGCAATGATACTAGAAGTTCATACCTAAAAGTACTTGGCAGTCCCTTTGCCACGGGGTTTCTGGAAGTCTTCTCTACTGGAGAAAGTGCATGTTCCTTGAAGCTTATTTCAGAGCTTTCAATGAAGGATCAGAGTATAACAACAAATTCTGCCCAGAGAGGGGAAGATATAAATGGCTATGGTTAACTTACTAGTAATCATTTTCTGAAGTGAAGAAGTCATAATGAAGTAGGCAGGCATACAGGTTAAAATTAATTAGATTTGTGAGCTGACAGACCACGCCTTTGCCACACCCCTGTGTGACCTCATGCCCTACCTGATATTTTCACCACACCCCTGTGTGACCTCATCCCCCTACCTGGCCACACCTGGGTACCCGCCAGCCAATCAGGTTAATTAACCACTCCCCTTTGGAAGTGGGTTAAAAGCCTGGGACACTGTGTGTCTGGCCCTTCTCTTCTTCCCTGGCTTCTTGCCAGGAGAGGGCTGGCTGTAGCCCTGCACCTCCAGGGCACGTGGCCTTCGGGTCACCCGCCCTAGGCTTCCAGGCCTAGATGCTCCTCCATGTGGCTGGTTCCTGGTGCTCGGTATGAACACAGATTTACCTCTCTCTCTTAGATAAATCTCTCATTCTCCTATGCATCTTTCACACTAAATAAAAGACTAAAATGTACCATGCTGCCTCGTTTATTTATGCCGGTATTTAGAATTCTTCTCTAAATATTAGGCAAAAACTCTCTCGGGCTTACTAATATTGGGTATTTATTAATAAGCATATGGTGATATCATATGGCACCCCAAATTTTGGTAACATATGTGGCATCCCAGATGGCGCTTCTGGGGAACTCTAAGGGGCCACATTTCCATATATTTTAGGGGGTCATTTCCGATATCAGTAACTAATCAAATTGATATGGGAATCTGGATAATTATATGGCACACAAAATAAAGCAATTCAATAGCTACATATTCTTGAGTTATGCTCAAAATAGACAAACAAAAAGACTAATGATCTTTTTTCATCTTTTAACAAATACAGACCTGATCTATGCAGTGTATTAATCTGTTTATGGAGACCAATATGATTCGATTATAAAACCAAATGTCCAATTAAAATATTAAATATTAACAAACCAAATTCTGCTATAGAAAATAAATCTCTACAAACAATAATCCATTTACAGGCCTCATGAAATGACCAAACCAAATAATCAAAACCCAAATAGGGAATAACTTGTCAGCCAAAATCTAAGCAAAACAAAATTGGTAGAAAGAAAAGTAAAATTAGTAAAACAGAGCGAGATAAACTCACCTACCCCTTCGGACTCATCTCAGGGAGGTTTAAATATCCAAAAGGCACACTTAACTGCAAAAAAGTTCGCTTGACTCGTGATTTTCACTGGGCATCTCTGTGGAAAACATCCAAATTTTATATATATATATATATATATATATATATATATATAGACAGGCAGAGTTAGACAGTTAGGCACCCCAACGAGGACTAGAACCACACAGCCGGCGCTGCAGGCGGAGGATTAGCCTAGTGAGCCTCAGCGCCGGCCCCAAATTGTATTTAAATAAAAATGAAATATTTAACATCTGTTGTACAGCAAGATGACTAATATATATATATATATTTCAAAATATCTGCTGGAGCCGCGGCTCGCTAAGTTAATCCTCTGCCTGCAGCGCCAGCACACCGGGTTCTAGTCCCGGCTGGGGCAACGGTTCTGTCCTGGTTGCTCGTCTTTCAGTCCAGCTCTCTGCTGTGGCCTGAGAAGGCAGTGGAGGATGGCCCAAGTGCTTGGGCCCCTGCACTCACATGGGAGACCAGGAGGAAGCACCTGGCTCTTGACTCCGGATTGGCACAGTGCGCAGGCCGTAGCGGCCATTTGTGGGGTGAACCAACAGAAGGAAGACCTTTCTCTCTGTCTCTCTCTCTCACTCTCTATCTCTGCCTGTCAAAAAAAAAAAAATCTAACAAAAATATCAAATGTCTCCCCACAAAAAAAGGATGGTTATGCTAATTAGCTTGATTTAAAGATTCTATAGTGTATGTAAGCACAAAATAAATAAAGTAGCACATGGGGCCCCCATAAGTGTATATATAATGGTTTTTAAATCAAACACCATAGTATTTGAAATGGTAAAGTCATGTCTTGCATACAAATATGAAGAGGAACATGTGCTGAATTTACTCATGTGATGTAAGAGATAGGAAGATATAATGAACATCTAAAAGAATAAATCAAACACCACATGTGTATACAAAGCATAGGGATGCTGAGGTTGGTTACAAATGAGGAAAAATGTTTTTTCCTAGAAGAGAAAAAAAATCAACTAAATTACTACCAAAATGGCTGAGTGTACCACTGTTTTTTGCCATAAAAGCAGTGTTATTAAACTTTTAAGTCTTTGTGAAATGTTAAAAATTATTTACTACTGTAGTTTTAATGATCTTATAACTATTTTAAAATTTATTTATATAAGTGAACATCTCTTCCTTTGATTACTAAATTTTACCCATGCTTATTTCCCTGCTGGACTAAAGACTTTACTCTTTATTCGTTAAGCTCTTTATTTAGTGGAGCCAATAAGCCTTGAATATAAGTAAATTAAAAATACGCTGTCTGAAAAAATAATAAAATTTTAAATCACCAAATAGGACAAAATTTTGCCTAAGATTTACAAATAACTCAAAATGGCTCAAACACAATGACCAGTGCTAACATCTGGCAATTCTGGGTTGATAATGCTATCAGTGAGACATATTTTTCCATTGAAAATTTTTTCTACAAATGTATCCTACACTTGTATCACCAAAGTGATCCAATACACCCTGAACTGTATAGTAGCATGACAGATGACTATGTGAAAGTTGGATTACATTTTTTTCTATATTGCATTTGACTCTAAATATTGAGACAAGAGTCTTTAAATAAAGACTGGGATACACTTTTACTTTAAATGTCACGTTGTAAGGGTAGGCATTTGTCATAAATGAATAAAGGGCAAATTCTGATGTTTTTGCAATGCTTTTCAAATATCTAGTGGCAAGATTAGAAGTGATTCTTGTATATAAAATGCTTACCATATTGTCCCCTTTTCCAAGATAAGTAAAAACTAGACAAACTATTAACTTAGGAAGCCCCATCAGTCCCTCAGGGTGTGAGTATGAATATTTAAACTCTTTCCCTGTTATAAGAAAGAGATTCCAAAGTACATTTGTGGGAAAGATTTTATTTAACACATCAAAAATGAAACTAGTGAGATGTTAAAACCATTGTAAAAGACACTAAAAACAGATTTGGAGAGCAATAATGACAATGTAAATGTGCACATAGTGACACAACTAGTCTTTCAAAAAGTGGTAGGGAGGTCCCTTGAACCTCCAGTGAACAAAATTTACATTTCTGTAGGCAAGAGTTATTTTGCATCATTATGAATATCTATAATTTACAGAGTCAAAAAGACCCTTTCTGGAATAAGGTAATGCTGAAATGTGTGCTGTAGACAATACACCATTTTCCATTGAGGAACACATTTTCTCTACAGATAAATTAATTATTCCCAATTTTTTCTTATAGATAAAGCTTCAGTAAATAGTGTATGTCTGTGTGTGTGTGTGTGTGTGTGTGTATATATATATATATACATATAAAATATACCTATTAATTCCTTGGAATAAACTCCTATAAATAACTATCTGACTGATAGATAGATATTTCAAATAAGCTTCCAAAAAGATGGTTTTGAATGCCTATTTTTGCACAGATAATGCACATGACATGCTCTTCTAAATCCCCAAATTCTCATGACATTTCACTAGTGGCTAAAATATTTTATGCATCACACTAAAATTAAAATTGAAGCATTTTTAAAACTGGAAACTTGAAAAATATTGCTTTGGATAAAATAAGCTGTGTGTTCTAAGTCCTTAAATAAATGAATCTTAGAGCAATGCTTTCAGAAATGCTAATATAAAGGAATTTAGTCCATTGCCCCATTTTTTTGATAAGAAAAGTTACATAGACGTATTCGTACACATGGAAGATTCATGAAGTACTGAAGAGGAAAGAAAAGTTTCAATATATTTGTATGAATGAATGTAGATGAATACTGACTCTATACCTAAGAATATTTTGTGGGACTTAAAATATACATATAGAATCACAATAACCCAAAAAATATAGCAATTAGAAGTGAAAAATTTTTAAATAACTTCAACTCTCCCAGAATCTTCAAAATCATGTTGTAAACTTAAATCATTTGCTATAATGAGTGAATCCTGCTCTACAAAACAATATGTACTGCAGTGGAAACACTCAGCAAAGTGAAGAGGCAATTGACAGAATTGGGAGAAAATTTCTGCAAACTATGCAACTGATAAAGGGTTAATATCCAGAATCTCAAAGGAGCTCAAGAAACTCAACAACAAAGAAACTAATAATTCAGTTAAGATGTGGGTAAAGGACTTGAACAGGCATTTTCCAAAAGAGGAAATTCAAATGGCCGACAGACGAAATACTCAGGATCATTAGCCATCAGGGAAGTGAAAATCAAAATTAGTCAGGTTTCCCCCTACCCCAGTTAGAATGGCTGTCATACAGAAATCAAAAAACAACAAATGCTGGTGAGGATATGGGGGACAAAGTTCCCTAATTCAATTTCAGAGGAAATGTAAAGTAGTACAGTCATTGTGGGAAACAGTGTGGTGATTCCTCATAAAGCTGTAAATAGATCTGCCATATGAGCCAGCCATCCCATTCCTAAGAATTTATCTGTCGAAATGAAATAAGCATATTAAAAAGTTATCTGTACCCCCATGTTTATTGCAGCTCAATTCTCAAAAGCTAAGTCATGGAATCAACCCAGGTATCCATCATCTAATGACTGGAAAAATAAGTTGTTGTATAGAATGGTATACTACTTAGCCACTAAAAGAATGAAATCTTATCTTTTGCATCCATTATGCTTACTGAAATGAGCCAGATCCATAATGACAAGTGCCATATGTTTTCCCTGATCTCTGATAACTAATAGAGTATAAAAAAATGTAATGTGTATGAGCAAAATTGGCATTTTGATATTTGTTGATTGTCTACAGCCCTTCTCTCTACTGTTGAGGAACAGTGTTATTTTCTGCCCACTATTTGTTGAATTCTTCCCTTACTGTAGTGTTAATCTTAGGAGCATAAAATAAACTGAAAATAGATCCTT